CAGTAGGCCTCGACGGGTGGTTGTTGGCTGCCATCACTGGGCCGAAGGAGGTAGACACCAGATGGAGAGTCGACAGGCAGGTCGCTGCAATCATGGCCAGGGTGAGGGATTAATTGTTTTACTGTAGCAGCAAGGTCGTCAATTATGGTCTTCTGTTGGAATGATGTGTCGTTGATTGCTCCGGATAGCTTTGCTTCCTGTTTGTCAATGCGGGAAATCAATGTATCGAGACGCGATGTATAGTTATCCATTTTGACTGAAGCCTCATCCTGCGTCGTTTTTTGTTCGTTGAGCTGGAGGTCGTTCAGTTGTGATTCCTGGCTGTCGAGCCTTGTAGCCAGTTGAGACGTCTGAGTGAGTTGATCTTGCTGTGTAACGATGCTATCCAGTTGCACTGTGACACTATTCACTGTGACTGCAGTCTCCTCTTGCTGTGTTTTTGTTCATTGAGATGGGTGTTTAGCTCGCTCAGTTGAGATAGTTGACTGTCGAGCTGTGATTGCTGGCTGTCGAGTCTCGCAGTGATTCCACTCAGTTGACTGGACAGTTCTTCCATCTGCTCACCCAGTCGGTTCGTCAAAACGTCGGCAGTCAAGCTCATCGTGGAGTCGAGCAGAGTCAGTCTGTTGTCCAGGGACTCCACCAGTGACTCGAATCTTCTCACGATTGGTTGTAGCTCTCGCTGAACTGCTGTATTGATGATGGTGAACACCTCGTCAGCAAGAGCGCTGGGCAGGGCGGCCGGCTGCTGCTGCTGCTGCGCCGCGGACCGCCCGGCCAGGGCGGTCCAGACGACAAGTATCACCCCGATCACTGTGCTAGCCATGTTGGCTAGGAGAGGACGTACCTCCGTCGCCGGCTGCCGACCTCGGACTGACGGCTCGGAGCTGGCAGGACGTCTGCAGAGCTCGGTGCGGCTGACCTCTATCAGAGGCGCCACATCCGGTCAGGAGGCCCGGTCCCGTGACCGACAGACCGAGCGATAAACATTTGCAGTAGCCTTTGAGCTCTCTGTTGCACTAGCTGCCCCTTCCGCTGTCTTATGCATGAACATCGTTGACATATAGTACACAATAAAATATGAACACTCAATGGGTCATGGCAGCCGAGTGCATGCTTACTATCAGAGTTGAATGATGTCCAGGTTTAATTTGAGCATTAGGGTTGTCAAGCAACGAATTTTGGAAAAGTATACGCCACGGGCTCATGGCTTGTGTGGTGAGGTACACTTTTCTGAGTCCAACAATGCCGGTTTTGAGAATATAAATGCAGGCGGTTCTTTCGTAAATCGTTATTGTAGAATCGTCGTAAAAATCGTTAGTCGCTTTTCGTTAAAACGTAAATCGCTAAGAAGTTAAACATTAGGAGAGAGAGAGAGAGAGAGAGAGAGAGAGAGAGAGAGAGAGAGAGAGAGAGAGAGAGAGAGAGAGAGAGAGAGAGAGAGAGAGAGAGAGGGAGGGGGGAGAGAGAGAGAGAGAGTGAGAGAGAGAGAGAGAGAGAGAAAGAGAGAGAAAGAAAGAGAAAGAGAGAGAGAGAGAAAGAAAGAAAGAGAAAGAGAGAGAGAGAGAGAGAGAGAGAGAGAGAGAGAGAGAGAGAGAGAGAGAGAAAGAGAGAGAGAGAGAGAGAGTGATATGCTAATTATCTTATTAGCATTTCTCTCTTCGAGCTAATTAGCATCGAGTATCGAGCTAACAGTTGACCGTAACTGGCCATGACAGCTGCTGGGAATACCAGTCTCCCTTGGAGAGCTGTCCCCTACTATGAGCCAAACGCGCCTACTCTTCGCTTCCCTGTCACTCAACAGCGAAGCCACCACGAGCTCAACTCACCCACCCGGGCGCTCACCTTCCCTTTCTCACACAGCGAAACCACAACGAGCTCAACTCACCTGGGCGCTCACCCTCCCTTTCTCACACAGCGAAAGCACAACGAGCTCAACTCACCCGGGCGCTCACCCTCCCTTTCTCACACAGCGGAACCACTACCGTGAGCTGAACGAAGAGGCTCGCCGGGCGCTGGGCACGATCCCTGAGGAATTCGTCCACTACTGGACCTCACGGTTCCCGCGGCTGCTGGCTCACGTGTGGTCGGCGGCTCAGGAGGTCCGCGATGAACCCATCTTCAGCCGGTACTACTGCGACCAGTACGACTGGACCCTGGTAGGTGGTTACAGGGAGGGGCGGGAGTGAGCGGGGACTGGGGAGGGTGTTTGGTGAATTTGAGGAAGGCAATGAGAAAAAGATCAATGATCAATGATCAGATAAGCTGGTAATATTGGAATATCTATAAGATAAATGCCGCTGTAATAGACCATCTATTATGGAAGGGTCTCTATAGCCAATATGGATGTAACATTATCTAGAATTGACAATAAAAATTGATATGTGACGATGACCTTAAAGAGAAGTAAGGGCGCCCCAAGCAAAAGAAAATCAACACACGTCAAACTAGGACTCACTAAAAGCTCGCACTCCCGCGAGTCTCGCGATAGCCCGTCTCTAACACCTCCTCCCTCGCCGCCAGGAGCCGGACCCGTCGGCCGTTCCGCCGTGGCGGCGCAGCCCGGCGCCGGGCGGTTCGCCCAGTCAGTCGCCCTCCCCGCGGCGGCGCGGCGCGGGCCGGCGGGGCGGGGGACGCGGCGGGCGGACCCCCGACAGCGCCGCCAGGGAGGAGCGCGGACCGATGCTGGTCGGATCACAGCCGGGCATGTCGCTCATTGGGGCGCTGCTGGAGAGCGACGCCAGAGAAAAGTGAGGAGAGTGGGGAAGGCGTTGTGTGTGTTTGTGCATGTACTGTGCGTGATTGACAGGAGGAAAAATACATCGGGTCGCCTAGGCAATGCATCGGTTGCTTTGGCAATGTTACCTGTGATGGCAATCTCATCTGTTTCTTTTACAGTCAAAATTATTAATTAAGGTTATCTCGAGAGCTGAACCGGCCTGGGAGTATCAAATCATTGCTAGGTTAGTGCTTGATTTGGAATCCCTTTTTCGTGATGAAGGTTCAGATGCTAATTAGAGTTGTTTTGTAGTAGAATGCAAGGTGGATTTTTTACTTCCTGTGACCATGTGCCTCCGTGCTGGCCTCAACATAACTATGTAATGAATCTTCATTCCCACCCCGACCCGACCCGACCCGCCCTGACCTCCCGTCCCCGTTTCACAGGTCGCCGGACGGCCGCGAGGCTCAGGGCGCCCAGTCGGACGAGGTGGGCGCCCGCGTCCGACAGCGGCTCATAGACATCGTCCAGGAGAGCGGCGTCGTAGTCGAGGATGCCGCCAACATCGTCCGGCGGGCGTCCCGAACGGACCTGGCCGCCGACGGTGGCGCCACCTTTACTGAACCGACCGCGACCGGTGGCGCCACCTTTACTGAGACATCCCAAGATGGCGGTGGCGTGTGGATTCAAACGGGTAAAGTGAAGGACTCTGAGGGACCGCGTTCTGGTGACGTCATAGTACCGAAACCGGCAGCTGGCGGTGAAGTGGCGAGTGGTGACGTGACTATGGACCCTTAGCTCGCCGATGGTGCAGCGCTGGCGCCGAGTCTGTGTGCTTTCCTTTTGTCTTTATAATTGTCGCGTGACAAAGCGAGTGGCCAACTTGCGGCGAGCGAGGCCGAGAACATTACATTTTGACCGGGGTTTGAATATGCAGCCAGTTGAATTGGCTCAGTTTGGCAACTTGGACCAAAGCATTGCTAGCCGAGCTTCGTCGAGTGTTTCAAATGGTTGATTTGACGAGCATTTGTCTTGGAAGTGACACGCTATGGTCCGAAATTGAGCGGGACACCTGTGCCATGTGTCGGGCAGTACTGAGTGTCATCATGGATGTGTGACTGCCATGTGTGGCCTATATGTAATCTCAGAGGAAAGCGCGCGCGCCCGCGTTTTACCCGTGTCTTACCGCGCGAAACGGCGTGTTTCGCGCCGTTTGTGCGCTAGCTGTGGGATTGTGCTCATTTTTCTATGACATGGGTGATGCAGTGGGATTCTCTGCTCACATTATCATCTAGCTATCGGTCCTTTTTAGCTCCCTTTGCTGATGCGACCTCCATACCACTATTATTTGACAATCGATGTATCCAATAGATAGAGTACGGCAAGTCTGCAGAGCCTGGTATGCATTCCACAACGATGTACAAGTGTGCTGTTTTTATCGAGGCGCGACGCGAGCCCTACCGTGTGACGAGTTAAGGCGGATGTGAGATGTTGGTGCCTTACAAATATTGGCGGATTTCGGGATTTTGCATCTGCAATGGCATTGCTGCAGTAAAGCTGGTTTAGAGTGTTGTGTACTTGAACCTTATGACTGCTAGTTGACGAGCGTTTGACACGTGGGTTGGCAGTTTCTAGATCACACTTGCACTATGAATCGTACACAAGCCATTGGTTTCAGGGTGGCGGTTACACTAAGTACTTAGTTGGTACGCCAGGCAGCCAAGTCGACTCTGCAAGGTAAGACAGAGTCGTTTTTGTGTGTAAATTGCTGTGAAATGTCACCAAATATTATGTACCGGAGTAGGTTTGTTGCATTTGTAAGCTGCCGCTGCCTGATTTTTTTTCATTGCGTCAGTATCAATCATGATCACAAATTGCGTTCGCCTTCTGTGCAGGTAGGGTTCCCTATTGTGGGCCGGCTCTAATCGTCGAGTGAGCGTTTCGTGTTTTACGCAAGCGTGACGTCATCATACGTCACTGGTTTGGGCGCTGTGACGTCACATGGGGTGTCATGTCTCAATATATCGTCCATCAGGTCACTTGTTTGTTTTATTTTGATGATTTCTTTTATATGCATTTGTGTTCTTGAAGCCGTGACCCTCTGCGCGTCTAATTTATCGGGGTTTGTATGCACTGATGTTTCTAACACCTTCTTGTGGAACAACATGGTTTTCGAGGAAAACTACAGCATAGTCTTCTGTATCACGATATAGAGTAGTCCATGACTCACGACTACACCTATGCCTAACCTAGCACTTCGACCCGCTGAATTAACTTCATATTTCCGTTCAATAAAACAGGAATGTATTCAGCAATAGACATTCCGGGCGACACAAACGCCTTACAAAACCAGAAAAAGGTACAGATAACAGCACCCGGTCTGAGACAGAGAAAATAAGCACCGCGCGTAAAACTTGAGCCTCCAATAATGCCAAGAGAAGAGGACACCGATGAGCGTTCATTAGACAAGGCTATGTCACTGAAAACATTACAGTAGAGGATGCATGCTAATATTTGTACTTGGTATAGCAAAATGACGATCGGTGATAGCCGAAAACTTAATGCAGCTTAAAATGCATGCTAAGCTAATGACCACAAACGAAAATGTCGAGACAAGTCCGCATAGATTAGCTACAACGTGATAGACCGAAACGCATTTAATCGTTTTAGAAGCGACACGATTAAAACACAGGAGACCCCAAGCCCACACACATACGAACAAATGAAATCGGTCCCAGTTTAAAGCACTGCAGAGACTACTACATATCTGGACTGGACACGAATTTCGGCCGACTACCACCAGTATAACGCCTTTTGGGGCGACTAACGGAGCGAGCGAGAGGGTGAGCCTTGCACGTGCGAAATTTCGAAGGGGTACCTCCAGCTGACTTGTGCACGGCACCCTACTAACCGGTCTCTAGCGATGTGCCAAATTTGAGCACAATCGGCCCAGCCGTTCTCGAGATCTGGAAGCGGCACCCTGCACGTGCGCACGTGCAAAATGGGTCCCAACTGACTTTTGCACTGCACCCTACTAACCGGTCCCTAACCATGTACCAAATTTGAGCGCCATCGGTCCAGCCGTTCTCGAGATCTGAAATCGACCCCTGCACGTGCGCACGTGCAGCAGCACCCCAACTCTGGCACATGGACATGCATTGCCTAGTGGGTGCCTAGCTACATGCCAACTTTCAGCGCAATCGGCCAAGTAGTTACCGAGATATTGCAACAATTACAAAAGTGACACCTCTTCGTTTTGCACGTGGCACGTGCATAAGGGGTCACCCACATGCATCGGGAATAGTCCAATACTTGGTAGAAGGAATGAAGCTACCCTACAAAAATTACCGCGTGTAAATCGGTCAAGTGGTTGCTGAGATATAAGCCTCGCAAAAGCGTGACCACGGCCGGCCGGCCGGCCGGCCGGCCGGCCGCTCATACTCAGAAATTTCCGTTAATCTAAGGAAAGACTACGCTCGCTTCGCTCGCTCCGTAATAAGGGTACTGCAGGCGGTGGATGACGGATGTTAATTGCATTTATCACGTGCTGCAATAATGAGTATTTTACTTATAGAATCTCAAACATTCCAAATTTCAACATATTGTTTTCGTTGAGCTTTGTCGGAATTGTAGTTTATACATCACAATACCAAGTTGGTTTAATGTGGATATTTGTAATATTATTTTTTTGGTGATTTCCCCTTTCTGTACAATCGTTCCACAACACAATGAATTCATAACTTGTGGTTGTATGCAGTATGGAAGCTGTTCAACAATGCCAAGATATTGTGCAGTTGCTAACTGTCGTTCAGGACACAAGCCGACGATATGGGACAGGGAAAACAATAAGCTTACCCCACGATTTAGCGTTTTTTCGATTCCCCCTAAATAAAGCAAGCAAGAGAAAATGGGCTGAAGCCATTGGACGGAACGTGGAAAACCTGAACGGGGTCAACTGTGGCATATGCGAAAAGCATTTCCGTCCTCATGATTTTCGTTTGGGTGCTAACAGACGCGGCAAGGATCGGAAACGGCGACTTCTGAAGAAAGATGCTGTGCCGTTTGTGGAACTCGTAACAGGCCGCTCAACACCTCGTCCGACGAAGTTTGCAGACCCATCGGCACGACGACTCCGACAGGAACAAGAGGCCTAAAACCGGACACAGGCATTCTTCGCTGACGACCAGATACAAAACCTTGCTGATCTCTGTCAGAAACTAAAAAAGGAGCACCTGCCCGTGGGCTTCAGGTAGGTATGTTTATCAATGGAATTGATGTTTTGCATAGGCGTAGGAACGCATAGGCGTAGGAAGGGAAGCTGATACGACCCACTTCCACTGCAATCGACATCGCTTCCAGAATCTGCTGTGTTTGGAGGACTCTCGTCAAAGAGCAGAGCAGCAGGCAGCGTCTGTTCGGCAGCAACCTGCCGCGAGCAGTCTTCGTGAATGTGGTGAGTGAAGTCATCACATCGGCCGAGAACGTGACTGTCTCAGACATCAGCTGTGAAGGAGGCCACTGTCTTGCAACTGTAGTATCGCGTATGGCAGGCTCCCTATTCAATTTGTTCGCCAGCAACATGGTCAAGGACGCCAACAGCCGTCTACACGGAAAATGGAAGCGTTCCACAGACCCCGGCGCCAGTACCAGTAAGGAGAGATGCTCTAGGGAAGACCAGAAGCGCCGCAAGTTAAGTGGGAGTAAGAAGACTTAGGACCAGCTCGGCTCCACTGCATCTGCAGGCGCTGACTGACAGCGTTATCTAGTGGCCGATATTTAAGTTACCTTTGTGCACCGGCACAGTATGCCTTCAGGCGCTGACTCACAGTGCCATCTAGTGGCCAGTATGTACGTTACATTTGTGCGCCGGCACAGTATGGCTCAGCGCGACCCGGGTCAAACGTATATACGCCCGCCGCCAGTTCTCCGTGTTTTGTCCTGTGAGTTTCTGGAGCTGGAAGAGTGACATCGCAGGAGCGTCACAGTTCCAATAGTGTATCATTGTGATCAATTTCTGTGATAATTGTGGCTTGCATTCATTGTATTACGATTCATTGTGATGTGCGAATATCATAAACAAGCAACCACTATCTGCGAGTTTCCTTGTCAACGAAGATGGCAGAAGCGACAAAATGATGACTAATAGCAGACCATCACGTAGCACGCGCAGCACTCTCTCCACTGACCTCTAAGCTGCCAAATGAGCATCAGTAAGCAGGGCGAAGTTCACGCGGTTATAACCATGGGATGGGATCAAATATGCGACCTGCTCATTATAATATATCCATTATGAAAGGCAATCAAATTTAACACATAAAACTCCATTGGTACATACCCTTATAGTAATCGGCGAAATTTCGTGTCCAGTCCAGATATGTAGTAGTCTATGAGCACTGTAATGCAAAGAACGACGAGCAAGAAGTCACTGCGGCAGTTGAACGTTTCATGGAGGACTTGGTTTGTTCCGCAGAATATACCAAACTTTGATGATGGTTTGGGCTTATATACCCAACTTCTCGATAAGCGAGTGAAAAGATCCGACAATAGAAGAGGTAAAGTCGCCACGTCTAGGGTCAAGGTCACTCAGGTCACGAGGCTCCATTGAACAGGGCTTTCTTCACGGGGCTGATAATTTCCGGAGCGACACTAGCGCCGTTGCCGTTTAGCGGCGATGATCCGAAGTAGCACTTGCGGCAGACGGCGAGATATTTATCCGTTCCACCTATCACTTCCACCTGGAGGAGGGGGGGGGGGGGGCAAACGGTCATAACTGAACCGAGGGGGAGATGAACTTTTCCACACCGGTCCTAAGCCTGAGAAGCGACGTCTATCGCATACTGAAGAGGCGACTCTTAGACCGGAGCTGATAGGAGAAGTGGGTGATAGGATTTTGCTCCGGCGAGCGACTACCTATTCTAGGTAAATAGAGCAAACTCACTGATAAGTGAAGTGTTTCGGTAAGACAGCAACAACTTATGACATGGTGAGCTCGCACTAGCTACACCCGTAAGTGGAAGACGGCGGTGTTTTGATACGATAACTCGAGCTAATCATCATCCGTCCTTGAAGTTGTGCTAATCACCCCACTGTGGACCCATGCCGGCGCCAATCACTCTAAAACTCACCAGGCCACCGCAAATCCAGCCGCTTTTAGGATAGAAGAGAGATGCATTATTAACAGTTATCGACCCTTACATGCACTGCATTCAGTATTAGGTGAGAACTGCGATGCGCCAGTCCATGATACAAACTACGTGGGGAAGTGTGTTGATGTACGTCGAATCCCCAGCACCCCAATGTAATTCAGACATATCCTCGCACAATAGCATCGCACACCCATCTCAAGTCTCAAACCATGACACCACCAAACAAAACCACTCTCCCACACACCAAGCCCCCACACTTCCCCAAGCCACCCCTCCCCCCTCCGTCCAGCGCGCTCCTACCTGCTGTTCGGAGCCCTTTCTCTTTGTGTAGCTCGCCGTCCTGAAGCATTCCATACAGACGGCGTTCAGCTTTACCACATTCTCGGCTATCGGGACGAGCGAGAGGATGTCACCGAAAGCCTGTGGGCCGAATAAACCGGACAGCTTGGTTAATTTATGTAATTGCGGAGGCATGAATTCAGTGGCAGTATATTATGTAACGGTCATGTAAAGGAAGGCATGAGGTTGTCCTGCGCCACGGTAGTGGTTACGTAGAGCTGTCGGACCTCAGGCACTACAACGGAGACGCGACGTGTCTGCTTTTTGAACGATAGCTAAAACGGGTTTTATTGGAGACCACGAGACTGTCGAAAACAAGTATGACTTATGTGTACAATCGCGACGCGTGTTACAATTCGCAATCCTTTTCTGGTGTTCTTTATTATCATCATAAGTCAAGGATATTTTCCCTGAACGATCGAACAAAAATACAAATACTCATTATTTAACCCACTTATAAAGAGTAAAAGTGCAAGTACCCAGAACCAGCTAACAGGTACTAGTTGTTACACACTCTGCGTCCGTGTCGTGCCTCACCTGTCTCTGAAATGTGGCGTCCAGGGCCGCCACTATGACGATCTTACCCAGGTTAGCCAGCTCCTCAGCAAACGGCACGCAATCGGGGAACTGCAGGTCACGAGGGGTAAGGGGCAAGAGAGGGGTAAGTGAGCTTGTTTGTTGGAGCTGTGAGGGCACGTCGACTGCTTGGGTCATTCAGCGTCATGCAGAAGCTAATGAAAATGGACGTATTTATACACGTCGTAAAGTGGGAAATCAACGGCAAGTGCCAATTTAGCAGAAAAAAAACTGGAGATGAGCAAAACAGGGAAGATTGAGAAGCATACATGAGTGCAGACAATAGGAAAACATCGATACGCATTTGCTCAGGGAGACATGAACTATCAACCAGCAAAAACGCGCATAATCATTCCATACTATTCCATATTTCATGCTTCATAGACCTCTGTATACTGGTACCTATACAGATCGGTCTATGCATGCCTGCATTTACAATCATTACTACTGTCGCGGCGTCGAGTAACTTACGAACTGGCCTTCGTCGATCCCAATCACAGAGTAGCTGGACGCTGCGATCGACTTGAGCGGTTCTAGTTTGGTGGCCGACACGGCAGCCAGCGTCTGACGGTCGTGAGTCGAAATGTCCTTGTCGGCGTACCTGGTGGAAAGTGAAGTCGAGTTGTCATGGTAACGGGGAGAACACATGAACCCAACTGTCCAGAAAAGCCAGCAGTCAAAGCCATAGAAACTACCAGCAGCAGCAGTGGCCAGCAGTGGTGGCCAGCCAGCTAACGCTACTAAATATAAATATAAGTAAAACTAACAGTGTGTTCACTGTTCAGTGTCTGGCGAATTGCGGTATGTTAAATATCGATGTCTCATCGATGGTGGCGGTAGTGTGGGAGAGGACAGAGGAGAAAGAGAAATTTAGAGTGCGGAGGTCAAGAGGTCAGTGATCTGTGGTTCATCGTCAGACTCAGAATAGGCATCTGTTCTTGACGTGGAATGGGAGACAGGGCTGCCCCTAACAACAAAAACAACAAAAAGGCCACTGCTATCTGACTAACGAATTCGCCAATGATAGGCAACTTGTACACCATAGACAAACATACGATAAAAGGACATGCCGCGACTTACATGAAGCCATCGGTAACACAATACAGGCACCACGCGGGAGAAAAGTAAACAGCCGGACGAAGTCCAGAGAGCCATCGTCTGCGCACAGATAAATTAGTAATCGATAGCCAAAAATATATCTGATTACATTATGTAAGCATAACTTGACTGCCAGACGTTGATATCTACGATATTTATTTGCTCTTCGTACAATTTTAGACCCAGGGGTAGGACGGATGGGTGGCTGGTCTCGGGTGCCCAACAAACAGCAATTCTTACGCATCACCACAGACCCGCCGGCCGCCCGCTACGCGAGAGACCGGTCCACCGATTTAATTTTAGATCCTATCGTGCTGCGAAGAGCCGGCGGCCCAGTCCTCCAGGACCTAGCGCATTCCTCACTCGCTAGGTGCTAATTAGTTTACCGAGGGCAGGATATTTGAAGAGCGCCATCTTCTCCTTCTCAGAAGCATCGCTACACATAGTTTGAGGACACACCAGACGATAAGAATTTGCCAAAATAGCTAGAAGATGATGATGATGAATTGGGGTTTTTGGGCGTCCGGACTACAGTGGTCATCGGCGCCCATCAAAATAGCTAGAAGTACCATCGAATCGAGCGTAAGACAATAAAGAGAAACGCCCCGACAACGATCTGCGGCCCCGCACAAAAATCCGGACCATTCGTGACACGCTTTTCTGGTTTGGCGCGACTCGCACCAAACAACCGTTTTCAAACGTGTTTTTAGATCGATCTCTTCTGCTCTCATATCGCGTATATCATCAGAAATGGCGAAACACCGACTCAGCCGCTATTGGAAACTGACGTCTGAAACTGGTGACTCGGGAATAGCTGATAGAGCGTTCAGCGTATGCCGGCTTGAGTGCTAACTTTCACCAATAGATCGGTGAAAAGCACAGATCGTTGAGGGCTATTGTCGGAAAATGTGCACAGTCAAAGCGAAATAAACTTACGGCTAGGTGCTTCTTCACGGTTAAATATCCTTGCTTTCTTTTAAAAGCCTCAATCTTTATGGTTTAGTGACTACAAACCAGGCTTCTCATTCAAGTTAGTTAAATACAGCAGACAACACGCCAAGGCATCAATACGTCGTCACTAACCGGTTGTCGTTGGCGTATTTGATGATGAGACAGCGGTGGTTGGCCACTTGGTACCGTTTCAGTCGCCGGATCAGCTCTGTCGTCTTGCCACTGAACATCGGCCCGAAGATGACCTGACGGAGGTAGGGAGCAGGTCAGGGTCAGAGGTCAGGGGTCAGGGTTAGGGGCTAGGGGTCAGGCTCAGAAGTCAATGACCAAAGGTCAAGGGTCAGGGGTCAGAGGTCAGAGGTCAGAGATCAGGGATCAGAACTCATTGGTTGTAGGTTAAGATCGAGAGTAAATAGAATAGACGTTCGACCCCAGACGTCTGAAGTTAGTGTCAAGAGATATGTACAGCCCTCTGCAGACTGCGTGGTAGGTATTCTTTTTTCGACAAAACCGATAATAACTCAAAGGCTAAGTTATCGGTCGGTCGGATCTCATTGCATAAAGATGCGCCATGCTCCACTCCTTCGATTGGTTCTATCACTGAACAAAGCATATGACTAGTGTAGCAACAAAAGGCAAAAGTTTGTTTTGGGGGCAGATATAAACTTTTGTGTGTTGTTGCCAAACTAGCTGGAAAATGTATACCAAAATAAGCCCAATCTAAGGTGCGGAGTCTCGCGCGTCTTGCTGTTACGATTTCCGAGTGACTGTTAGCATAGTATTCGCGTTATTCTCCGTTTTGTCGAGAAAAAAAAGAATACCTACCACGCAGTTTGCAGAGGGCTGTACATGTTAAAAATAGACGGTAAAAGGGCTGGATTGAATGCCAGAATTCGGACGTGACGTCAGGAATCAGCATATGACCGAAAATCGGACGAGAAGTCAGCACGGTCTTGGGCCATATTGCTATGGCTTACGTAGCATACATATAAACGTCATCTTATGTTTCCTCAGGCACCGGAAGCGCGACGAAACCCTAGAATCGTGTCTGCATCAAGACGTCAGCCACCGGCCGGAGTGTGCACTGTGCAGGGCTGCAACAATAAACAACAGAGCAAGCGGATCTGTAGCTCTGCAACACCGAGCCGCATTGCGGAATGCCTTGGCCGTCACAGTCTGGAATGCAACTGGGCTGGAAAAACGGGCGAGAGCTTCCCTCACGCGATGTTTTCCAGTAGACTCTGGTCATGGTGGCATGGTAACAAACAGCTGAATTTCCAGTCGTCATGAGGCGCCTGATGACGTGTTATAAAGTGATTCCATCCCAGTACTAGCGAACGACCGTTTATTCTCTCGCGAGTGATTCACGTCACGCCTAGTTCTATCTGGTACGCGGCGGCTTTCACCGGCGCAAAACTCGTGAAACGAGCAGATGGATAGGTATGAAGTTGTTTATTCATTCATAGCACGAGTACCATGGGAGCACATAAAACGTCTGACTCGTTACTAAGGGAATATTACACATAGTAAGGGCATCTGAAATCAGAGTTCACGTTCAATTTGCAACGAGCGAAGTTATTAACAACGAAGTTCCATTCAACCACACAACTCGAAAAAAGGCGAGGACTGTCAGCACATTGTGACTGGCGAATAACAGAGATAAAGCCAAAGGCCTTCCAGCCTTCTAGCAGCCTTCTAGCAAGCGTGCGAAAATACATTCCAAGCACATAACGTGTGGTACAGCACCCAAAAAGACGAAATTCACAGCCCAGATTAGAATGTAACGTGAGTGAAAAACTTCATGAAAACATTACATGACAGAAAAATCGCAGATACAAGACCCAAAGATATAAGGGTTTGTAAATAACGAAGCTGACGGGTCACTCGTCATTGCTCCTAATAGAACCAAAAGGCACCACAGCTGGCCGTATGTCAGTTTCACCAAAGTGTGGGGTCACAAAATGACCAGTGTGTAGAATACATTAGTTCAACATTCACCTCGTGTGTTCAATTCAGCTGACTAACGAAGTTACTACACTTAATGCCACGCCTATGGGCAGCTGTTCAAGCAACGATTAATGCAAATGGCACAAATGTCAAAGAACATCACGTAAGTGGCAAGAAATCATTTAACATATTGCAGCAAATACAGTTATTACCCAGTATCTACAAACATTGTAGTAACATAGGTACCGCAGCAAACTCAAAGATACAGGGACAAGCTACATTTGCATCCACTACATCGAAAGATGGAAACATTAGCCTAATAACGCTGCAAAGCAATAACACCTAAAAAGAATTATGACAGAGCCGATACAAATTTGTTATTTTGAGTATGATGAACCGCAGGTATGGCGCTGATATGGTGCGCCCTCCGTGCAAGCATGTGATACACAACGTAACATCACGACATTCGACACAAGAATGCCAAAAGGCCCGTAATGTAGTCAACGGAACCGATAACAAATTGGATTTGTGGCACGTATCATTTGTACATATTAATTCCGTAACAATCTCGAGCTTATTGGTACCTAGGACCAACTGCAATCCCAGTCATATTAAGGCAGGGTCGTTTCCTTTCCGTACGAATAGGATGAAAAACAAACAAAATATCAACACATCCGCGAGAGTGGGCATTTCTATTCGACTATGAAAATCAAAGCACCTAGGAGTTACGCTTTTGATTAAATGAGCTGACTACATGACACGCGTTTCACACGCACTTCTGTGTACATTTAAACAACAGCACATCTAGAGTCTGGTGATCTATAATTAATATTGAAATACCCAAGTAGAGTATTACGCAAGGCTCCGCGATTATTACACAATTCCTCCACAATCAACGCTAAACAATCATCGAGAGGTTCGAAAATCCACATTCCACTCCCTCCGGAATGCTCCCGTCCCTCTCACTCTCTCCCCTCTCCCTCACTCATCCTCAGCTGCCGCCTTTCCGGCCATTTCCACAAACACTCTACTGAGGACCTGTCTGCCCTTCCCAGCGTGATCGAGCGGAGTCAGACCCCGCGCGCAGCGGGCCGTCCTGTCCGCACCAGCCCTCAGCAGTCGCCGGCACAGGTCAGCGTTCCTTCGGCCAGCAGCCACATGCAGAGCCGTTCTTCCAGCAGTATCAGCACAGCACACGTCAGCACCGCGAGCGATCAGCTCAGCAGCTCCTGGTACGAACTCAGCGGCGCAGGCGCAGTGGAGAGGTGTTGAGCCGTCCGTGGCGGCGGCGTTTGGGTCAGCGCCGCTGTCTAGGAGGAGTCGTGTCAGGTCGGGAAGTTTAGCAGAGGCGGCTGCGTGGAGAGGCGTCCTTCCTGATGAGTCCTGGCATGATATGGGCACGGGTGCCGCGCTGCGCTGGGCTGCTAACGGGGCACACCGCGAACACGCGCACAGAGGATGGCACAGAGCCGAGCCATCGCTGCCGGCGGTCAGTCCCAGATGGAAGCAGGCTAGCCGCTCGTCACACGCGGCTATAGCGGCGAAGAGGCGACGCACCGCGCGGCCCGCAGGCGGAGAGGTAACCGCAGACAGCGGCCGCATCGGCTCGGCCCCGCGCAATCGCACCAGTCGCTTTGGTGCGTTACGCCGGAACCGATCACACGCATCCACTAGATGTCGGCGGAGAACATGATCGTGTGCCACGTCGAGTGGGGTGAGACCCCGATGGTTCACCACATCTCTCGCCGCACCGTGAGCTGCTAGCAGGAGCGCCACATCACCGTAGCCCCAGCGGGAGGCCAGGTGAAGCGGCGCGTCCCCGTCAGCATTGAGCGCGTTCACACCAGCCGGCGCTCCCGTCTGTTCCGCGTGGTAGAGCAGCGCCTGCGCCGCACCCCGATGACCGTTATTCACTGCCAGATGAAGCGCCGTATTGCCTCGCGCGTCTCGCCGACCGGCAGACGCTCCAAGGTGTAACAGAAGCAGTGCGGCTCCCTGGTGACCGCGCGCCGCCGCGCAGTGCAGCGGTGTGGCTCCGGAGAGGTCCCGAGCGTCCAGCACGGCACCACGGGAGGTCAGGAGCTCAATACAGCGCACAGAGCTGTGAGAGGCAGCCAGGTGGAGAGCGGTGCGTCCGGCGCCGTCCGTGGAGGCGACTGTCGGCGCCACGCCGGCGCGCCGCTGCTGTGCGAGACGACACTCAGAGCAGGTGCACAGAGGGTGGCAGAGAGGCCGCGCCGGGGGCTCCGACTCGGGACGGGAGTCGAGGATGGCAGCTAGTCCTTCGGCATCGTCACGCGCCACCTGATGAAACATCTCTGGGACGGACACGGCGCCGGTGGGCGGCGAGTTCGCGGTGCCCGCACCCTCAGCCTGAGTATCCGAAGGTCCCGACGCAGAGGTGCTTTCTGAAGACGATTCCGTCGTGCTTTCGTGAGATGAAGCTGCGGCTGCCGCGGCAGCCTCGTCGGCAAGAGCCTCTGGGAGTGGCTCTTCGTCTCCCAGAGCTCCCGACTTGATGTGCTCCAGAGCTGCCTCGAGCGTGGCCGCCAGGAAGCCGTACTGGTCATGGTTGCAGGAGCTGGCCGAGAAGTGGAACATCTTCATCAGCACCAGCTGAGCCGTCCAGCTGGCGATCGACGTGTGGAGGACCAGGTAGATGAAGATGGGTAGCAGGTCGTCTGACGACAGCTGTGTGCCAGGAGGAGGCTCTTCACTGGAGGTAGAGGTGGTGTCTCCGTTGGGAGGCTGCTGGTCAAACTCGCGAGTGACCCGCCTCAGAGTGAGGAACTTGCCGAGAGGGTGGTGTTGTCGGGTCAGTTTTTGCATCTGCTGTCTGGCAGACTGGAGGCTCGGCTCGTACACCGCCCTGATGCCGAGGTCGCATGGCTGCAGCTCCTGGAGGTTTTGAATTGTCTTGTTCAGCTTGGCATCATCAACAGCAGTGATGGCAAGCAGGCATTCCATCAACTTCTGATACAGCAGGTACAGGACATATGTTTCAAGAGCCAGTTTCACAGATTCAGCAAAGTGAAAATCTTCCTTTAACTGGTCCACAATATGACCCTTCTCGCAGAAAACTTTGAGTGCTTTTGAGTACAGCTGACCAACCTTCTCCCATAGCTGCTGAAGGCTCAGAACCTTCAGATTTGGGTGGTTTTCCACAAACATTCCGCAGCACCTGTTCACAGCATTGACTGCACTGTGTCCGTTCCCCACAGACCAGAGGAAGCTCAGGCAGTCATGCATCCCACTCAGAGTCTGCAGTTCAGCTCGCACCTGGTAGTAGGGGCTGCCGGACGTGCAAAGTGGCCGCTCCAGACAGCAGATATCATGCTTCTTGAGCTCCTCTGAGTAGCATGTCTCAGTGAAGAGAATGTGAACACTCTGTTCATGGATGGCCCCGTCTTCCTCCAGGATGTATGCATTGTTCTTCTTCTTCACATGCTTGTTGGTGATGGTGTGAAATGAGCTGTGGTCATCACTATCAGGCACAAGAATGTGTGACAGGATGTCACTGTCAGTTAGGTCCACAGCCTTGTAGCTGCCTGAGCGAGGGATGCAGATGACCCAGCCATCAGATACAGCCTTGCTGTACGCATCAGGAAACCTAATGCACAAGTCCTTGAAGAAAGGATTTTCAATGAGATCTTCATCATAATGGCTCGCACCTCCAGGGTGATCCATCCTCAAGTGACCAATGTCAGACCGTCACCAGTATTTAATGCACTACTAAGTTTCACTGCTGAAAGCATTTATGCATAAAGCATGAGCTGTCCTCTTCATCGGTTAAGAGCAGCCAGATGAAAGTGGAGTTGAAAAGTTTTCTCACGCAGCTCAGCACCACACCCCAATCGCAGTACCGACTGATACCGACCAACGCCCGCGACACACACCGCCCCAGTCAAGGCCCCAGTACTGCGCGTATAACGACACAGCGGCGCTTTTCCTGGGCCCGCCCAAGGCCCTGTTCAGAACACTTGCCAGATTCCCGCTAGCGACCAGTTTCCATAGTAGCCGGCTTCCAAACGGCAGCACAACATCGCCGTGGACCCGATTTCTCGACGTAGACCCAAAACAAATCGTCAAATTTTTAATTGAATTGAGTTATAGAGCTTCGGACCTGCTTCCCTTGCGCTGCATTGACAAGTGAGCGAGCAAAAAAAGGCAAGAAAACTGTAATGACGCAGCATCTACGATGTTGTTCGCGTTTGCAGCGAACAGTACCCCAGTATCGTAAGCGTCGTAAATGCGCAACCACTGTAAATATAGGCCGCTACCATATCGTGAAGGGAATAGAGGAACACGATTAAAATCAAACGCTACTTGGTCGAAGAACGAGGGAACGCAATAGTCAAGATAGAAAGATGCAAAGCAAAAGCTACAAATATTTTGGCGAGTCAGCCATCTAGCTGGTCTAGCAATGAACCTTCTTTGAGGGCAATCGTCCCCCCACCCCCACCCGCTCCTGGAATGTAAAAGCGGCCCAAGCACGTGAGCACGTCCTAGGACGTGCTTAGCTGAGAACCCATTTGATTTGTGTCGGGCATGTATCAGGCACCGCGACCCTTCGTATGTTGATATTTAGAAGCGAATCATGCACGTGTTCCCGTGCAATGACATGGAAATGCATTACCTGACGGGTGCTCACCGAAATGGCAAAGTTCGGAGCAATCGGCCCAGCCATTCCGTAAGTGAAACAATCGACACCGCTGGGTTGGCACGTGCCGCGGCCCGCGACGGCCGCCGGAAGCCAGAAATGAGAAAACTCCCACCTCATCCCAGATCATGATGGAGAATCTGAGCGCCGATGTGGAAGACGACTACCCCGTTGACATCTGCAGCATACCCTGACTTCGCCAAGATTCAGATTCAGATTCTTTATTTACGACAAATCCATAAAGCATGGGTTTTCATTGCCACTCGTCATCTTGATAAGGCGTTCAAGGCGTTCGATTTTATGCCGCACCGGCGATGATTCACGGGTACTGCATCAGAGGCAACTTCTCACGGTCGTCGTTTGGTCGCCGACAAAGGGTTATGATCCAAGGCTCAAATCGCGATGGACGACTGCCTCAGCGGCATGCCACAGGGCTCGGTCTCCGGATCAGTTCTGTCCAAGAGCCTAGACATGCCCTTGGAAGTATAAGGTCGCATCAAGCTCTTCGCCGATGACACGAAGATTTATCGCTGGAAACTGGGCAACCAGGATGACGTTGGCCTGCAAGTTGACACTGATGCATAGAAACATGATGTGGGGTTCATTCAGTATAGGCTACCAACAAAAACTGAAAGGAATTCACAGACATGCAGCTCAAATGGTCCATTCTGTAAACCCCATGACATACCTACCCAGAGAGGTAGAGGCCTCATGTCCTCAGGGTCAGCCCACAATGCCCCAACTGTTTTTTAATAATGATGAGGTTACATGATCACTGTGAACCTCTTTGACAACGTTTCCTGTCTCTTACAACCCTGCCACCATCTGGGCAATGAGCAAGCTAGGAAACCTAACAGGTGAGTTAAACAGGTGAGCTCAACCAGCTGCCCAGACTGTAAAACATCCACATGCTACGCCAGACGACCATGAGACCCTCATGCGCCAAAATTAGAAAGACGTGATTTCAAGCTGAAATATCAGCATGATTTGTGTTGGAAGTGGGTTGCTTATAACCTCCAAAATTGAGCCACTTTTACATAAAGCACATGTATCCTACTACCAACCAATCCTATATCAGCCAGACAGAGTGCTCCTGGTTGGACGTTTTTGGGGCCATGGCCTGCTGAAGCCACACAAATCTGAATTGGCCAGCTGCTGCATGGATGCATGATGACACTGTACCAGAGGAGTTCCCGAGACAGAACAAGGCTGACCTGTCAAGAGAATGTTGGATTAGGCTGGGCACACCCAGAGCCAGAAAACAGACAGCTGCAGAATTCAGCACCAGAATAGTCAATAACTAGAGTGATCACTTCCCAACCCTGGGCAGTGTGAAAGGGCAGAGCGCTGCAGCGTGCTGCGCGTCAGCCTGTCTGCAAAACGTGGCAGGCTTCGACGAGATCTCGTCGGGGCAGACACCACAGGTTGGGGCAGAAATAGGGGCAGGTTTCAGGAAGATTGGGGCAGACACAGGAAAATCTGGTGCAGAAGTTAAAAAATTGACACAGAAGTGATTTTCTCAGCTTCTCACTGCTTCCTACATCATTATATCGTTACATTATTTGCATCATTAGGGGCAGGAATTGGGCTGCCCCTGGACTCAGCATTCTCATTCGGGGCAGGATTTTGTCTGCCCCGAAAATCTTGTTGAGCTCCCTGCCATGTTTTGCAGACTGGCGCGTCAGTGCGTTTGGTTTCCATGGAAACAAAACAAACTCGGACGCCTCACAATGCTGAAGCGTTGAGCCGAATTTGTCTCGAACGCTGTACCAGCGCGCTGCAGTGGGTGCACCGTCCGGACAGTGAAACAGGGCCCTGGGCCTGGACTGGTGTCTGACATCTGTAAGCCAATTCAAAGTTGAAGTGAGACTCGACAAACACAAATGTGATGCATGGACCCCTTTTCTCTATGAGCCCAATGTTCATCTCCACAGCCTTGCCACAGCCCACAGCCTTTCAAATGTCTCAGTCTGCGAAATGCAATGCAATATGTGTAACAAAAAAAAAAAAAAAACTCCATAGCACATGGCGCCTTACCTGAACCTGTCCGTGTCCAAGCCGCTTGGAAGGCGATTCAATGTCATGATACGAATTCAACGGGCAAGCCATGTTGTAATGTCACACAGATAGGAAATTAATGCAATATCAATGTTCCTAAAATATCCCCGACACAATCGCTCTAATACCACGTTGTTGCATGCAATGAAATGCTTCCAAATCCGCGCGTAGGTTGGTAGCAATTTAGAGGAAAAATTGAAAATAAAATAAGTTAAAAATACCTTCAGTTAGCAAAAAGCAAGTAGGCTATTTTATGGTGTAAAACGCTGCCTTCCTCCGAGTATCTTGTTCTTTGTCGGTAAAACTATTATCTATTTAACTTTTATGCTGGTGTAGGTGGAAAAGTGTAATTTTTACCTCTATTTTTGTGTTTCCCTTATTTTACTGACAGGTAAAAACTTTATGTAACTAATGCGCAGTTTATGCATTCATTCGTAGTTACAATCCTATTCTCTAGGGGATGCTCACGAAGAAAAAACGGAGCACAAGCAGCAGTCACCTAGCAACCTGGTGCCAGCTACGCTAAAGGTAGACCGTTGCTAGGTTACAGATGGAAATGCTTTGAGCATCGAGAAGTAGCTGAACACACCTGTCAAACTGCATGAATGCTTTATTGTAGTATTCTATGACCGTGCTTTATTGGCTTTATTGTTTGTCATAGGCCGGCCGTGGAGAATATACCGATAAATTTGGTAATTTTGGCATTCCCTGCGTAGGTAGGGACTTTTCCTTGCTGCTGTCATTATTGTGAGACATTGTGAGATTAGGGCTGTACATTTATTGCTTGTCTGTATCCCTGTATCTTTGTATGTCCCCTCTATTCTATCAGTATTTTGTTTTTTTGTTTTTTTTTGTTCCTCAGGTCCCCAGTTCACAGAAGGAGACTGTGAAGGCCACTGTATTGTACCACTCCACTAACCTAAGAAGCAGTCTCTGGTTTCACGGCCATGGCCAGTCACAACCAGGAACCTCTGGATGTGCTCATACGTAAGTAATACGAGCAGCTGTCAGATGGTTCAGGTTAAGCTGGGAACTGGGGTATTGTATTGTGTTGTATTGTATTTATTGCATACCATCAACAGGTCCGAAAACCCAATAATAGACGGAGTCAGACATATAAAAACAATAAATACGACACACATTGTTAAAACTTCACACTGTATGGCGAACGAACACAGACACACACTTCATAAACCGAGAGCGCCTTCCAAAAATGTCCGCTCCAGGAGTCACCTGGTACAGGCTATTAATCCGACGTGGTAGACGGCAAAACAATCCATCTTTGATGGTGCCTACTCTGGCGGCTGGGACATTCAGACAGGGCTGCGCGCGAGTTGCCCTGGCTGGGACAGCAAGTCCGAAGCTGCCCAGGATTTCCACGGAGTCAACACGGCCCCCGAAGACGCCATGTAGGAAGGCGAGGTCGTGTTGCGCCAGGCGCTGTTTGATAGTTAGAACGGCGAAGTGGAGCAATAGCTGTGCGTAGTCAAATGAGTTTGAAGGGCGATTAGAGTTAACAGCTAGCCAGATTAAAAACTTATGCTGGACCCTGTCCAGTCGCGCCATGTGAGACACTGCGGCACCCGACCAAATAACGCTGCCAAACTCCAAATGGGGTATTAAGTGTTCAGATTTATCTGTGCTGTGGTACAGTAATTGTGGCAATCTTTCGGCATTCAGCGAGGTACCTGTCTCCGTGGAGCAGCAATAGATTAGCCCAGCTGCGTGAATGGCCAACTGACTGCCTTGCATGCAGATGACATTGGGAGGCGGAGCCTCTCCTTAGTCCCTCAAAGAATCATGGGCTGGAGCATTCATTAACAGATCCCTTGGGGCATGTGTCAGCTTGTGGGGCCAGGCTGGGTGCACACAAAGCCTTGAAAGCTGTGGTACCTGCTGCTCTAGAGAATGGCAGGGACAGAGTGGCAGCATACTACGTGCCCAGTAGACTGCATCTGATCTTGTTGCTTTCTTCCATGGCATATCTGTCTGATAATGTGAGCCAACTCACCTGTTCAACACACCTGCTGGAATTCCTTACTTGCCGAGAACAGCCAGTAGCCACATTGGATAGTTCGGGAAGGAAGGGGGAGTCACTCATCCTTCTTGAATGTGACCCATCAGGGATTGGTCAGTGTGGTGCCTCCAATTGTAATTGTCGCTGATTCCGCATCCAGCCACGAGATCAATGTTGCAGTGCCTATTCCCATCTTTGAATAGCTGTCTGTTGTAACCTTTTTTGCCAGGGCCCATGTTATATCTCTACTACTCACCACTGCCGATCTTTTGTGTCTGCTTGGTGCATTGCCTTTTGTGTGTTTGGGTGACGGTTTACAGAATTTGAGCGGAGCATCGGAAATACGAACCGTTCGGATCTCCGAATAACATGCGACAGGATCACTACTTGAAAATATTGTACAACATACGATAAGTTTACTTTGATCTCAATCACATATTCTGGTTCCCAGAGAGGATCACCAATCCGCTGAGTCAGACCTACGACCCCCAGCTGGTGTACACGTTCTGTGAGCGCATCAAACGCGATCAGGTGAGTTTAATTGTGTTTTTTTCTCTGTCACAGATGTGTTTGGTAATGGTTTTAGTGAAATGCAGTGATGCAATGAGAAGTTAAACACCCTGTTTTAATTTGACGACGATGTTTTGCCAGATTCGAACATAGTCTTTGTTGGGTTGATGGATCAGCAACATCTTGGAATCGAAAGTCTTCACAAAAGAAAATCTAACCAAATATACAATTTGGACCTGTAGCAATGAAAGCTTTTTAGCATTCAACTTTTAACGATGGCTCATTTGGCGTACGGTCCTTTAGGTTGGTTGCCGACAACACAAAACTATCTATATTGATGCATACGTCTTATTGTTGTTGAAAACCATTGCCGATGCGTCTGCACGAAAGCTCTTCTCATTTCTAATGAGTCATTTTACTGGAGTGTCTCTGTCATTCAAAGTGAATGCACCAAAAAATCATCGGCTAACCAACCACTCTTTTGCTGGATGGTTTTTGTTTTTACCTTGTTTTAAGTACAGATCGCCGTTCTTTTTCACCCAACCCTCAGGATGGAGCCGTGGCGGCGACTCGTCTGCTGGCGTACCGGGTACAGAGTCCTCAGGAAAGAGAGGCCATGCTCGCTCTGGATGTGAGTTCCGTCATGAGACGCTGGGAAAAGTGAGCTGAGGGCTCACTGGAGGGGATGCTGATTCATGATTGCTGAGGTTGACATCAGCGTGACTTGAATGAACTTGAACCAATATAAAGGTTTACAAAGGCTAGAGCTATAAATTCTTGCTCGACATATTCTTCCTTTATGTTATTATCTTTCTTTGTTTCGTTGTTGTGGTCTTTTCGTTTTACGTATTGAATTTTCTACAGGTTGTGGTCGTGAATAAGTGATTCTCTATCTATGAGTTGATTGATTTTATACAAATTATAGGTATATTTTCCAGGCTTTGCATCCACCCAGGCTTTGCATCGATATTTGTGCTGAGTTTTCTTTTTTTGCGCTGATTCATCGCAACATCTCCGTGATGTGTGGACCTTTCCCCCTCCGTTGCCCTTCACCACCTGACCCCACTCTACCCTCTCTCCGTCAGCTGCTGGACACCTGCGCGCGGACGGGTGGCGCGCGCTTCCAGGCCGAGCTGGGCAAATTCCGCTTCCTCAACGAGCTCATCAAGCTCCTCTCCCCGCGCTACCTGGGCGCGCGCACTCCGCAGCGCGTCAAACAGCGCGTGGCCGACCTTCTGCTCCTCTGGTCGCGCCAAATCCCGCACGAGACCAAGATCCAGGAGGCGTTTACCCTTCTGCAGAAGCAGGGTCTCCTGGATCTACACGGGGTAGGTTGGAGGGAGTGTGTGGTGCTCGGTAGTGGAGCGACCTCGGGGCAGAGTAGCGGAGGAGCCACCTCAGGGCAGAACGGGGGAGAGGGAGGGAGGTAGGTGAGGTGGGATGAGGGTAGACAGGAAATGCAGAGGAAGAATAGACAGCTTGGGTGTGGGATTAGTCGATGGCATCTGCATTCAGCAGCTTTAGTGATGTAGTGATCACTGAGTTGTTTGTCTACAATTAATTTGCTAAAATTCCGCGAAGACGCTGTAGGGGTAGTGAAATGCTTTAGCGGAGGATTTTAGCTATGTCGCTTTATGCATGCTTGCAGCTTTCATGTGCATGTGCAGCTAGTGGATGCTTTTGCAATTCTGAGTACGGCTTTCATGGATTTCAGTATTTATATTCGAATTATTTAAGGTAGTTGTAGTCAGCTTGGGTCGCTTGGGACTGGGACTGGATGGAACTGCTTGAATTAGAGTTCAGGAGCTGAAGGCGCTTAGGACGTTCGTGCACCTATGCCATATGAACTAGCTTCCTGTACCGGTAGCTGGATGGTTTTAGAGTAGGATAGGACACATTCTGTGAAGGTATTTAGTAGGTTTATTAAGTGTCATATAGAAAGCTTCTCAGAAAAGGTGTTACCAAGGCTGGCTTTGTGAAGGAAAGGGACAGAGACTAGGAAGATATGATGGGAAAGGGCAGGGCCCTGAAAGGATCTCCGATAGGACTCAAAGACAGTGAAAACATGTAAGTGTGAAATGTACTAAGTATTACAAAGATACTCGATATTATTTTTTCCTATTTTGTGTGGTGAGGACCGTTGAAAATTGCTGCTAGCTAGGGAAATGTGGTACAAATATGAGACCTATGTGTGCCAAAGTATCAACAAGAAGACTTGTAACAGTATTACTTTTTGAGCTGTGTCCGATAATTGTGTCGCCGAATATCAGTGCGGTGTGGTGTACTGGGATTTGTTATGACAGACTTGTGATGCGGTCTGAAGCATGCAGAAGAATGTTTTGGTGTGCAAAGGACTGGTTTTGAATATATGTAGTTGGTGGCATGTTCTCTCGACCTTAACTTACGAAGGTGTGATGTTTTCATTTGCGAGTCGTGATTTTTTCTCTCTGTGATGTAGGTAATGACAATATCATTTCAAATGTCTAATGGTTGATCGGTTGCGTTGAAACCACTCATTGTTTTATGGTGTTCTGAACCCCATTTTCTTACCGTGTTGCATGTGTTCATTTAATTCAGATTCATTGTCGAATGAGCTGCAATATTAACTCCTGCAGCATGATGCATTGCATTACCTCCCTCCCATTTGGTGTTAGCTGTCATTCCCTGCCACCCTCCCCTGATAGCATGCTGCACTCTCCCATCTTCACCACCCTCGCCCTCTAACCCGTGCTCTGCATGTCGCCCGCTAGATAGCGCCTCGTGATGCAGGTGGCGCCGCGGCGCGGATGGACGACGCACTAATGGTTCCAGAATCCGCCGATGAGGCGGTAGGTAACGGGGCTGCAGCTCTCTGGTTTGTTTTCGCTGGCTGGTAATGCAGCTTTGTTTATGGCAACGCACTGTTCATGGAATGTGAAATGGCCTATCCTGAACATATTGTAGCACATTGCCTACTCTATCTTTGTCTAAGGGCACTTAAATTATATCCATCAACTGCGCTGTATATACGAATGTGTGGCACAATGCCTCAGCTCTTTGCTGTTTTATCGCATGACTTGAGTGGAACTGCTTTGACGTGCAAGAACTCTAGCTAACTGTAGCCTTAGAACACGACATTGAAATTCTCTGGGAACGTAAGTTTCGTAACAGGTTATCAGCTAGCTGGCTGTAATCACAGACAATTTTACAAATATTCCCCTCCCCTTCCTCTAAAAATTCGTGTGCAGCTGGAATGCAGTTGGAGTATCCTCGACAACCAAAATTAAAAAAAAAACACACACACACACACACAGTGGTCGCTGGCGCAGACAGACAGACGGACATATAGACAGATAGATGATGAATTAGCAGAGACAGAAATATAAGCAGCAGTCAAACAGAAAAGGCGGAAAGCGAGAGAGACTAGGTCAAAAGGAGAGAGGATCAGCGACTGACGGATATGAATCGATGTTTTTGTTTTTGTTTTGTTGGGTTAGGCCCTTTCGGTCTGATGAGATCATTTCAGAGCCGGGAGGACGATAGGATATAGGGGGAGACATTGGTCTGGGCAGGCACCCTAGTGAGTCGCCGGGGCTGAGCCCGTCCAGAGGACAGGCCACCCAGCCCCAAGGCACTCACTGCACCCGGCTACGGGGTGCGCTCCCTCGGGAGCAGCGGTGCCGCTCCAAGGGACCAGCCCGCATGAGATAAAGTTGCCTGTCCAGCCCGGAGGGGGTTGCGGCGTGGAGGAGAAGGATTTCCGTATCCTGAGGATAGAAGCACGGAACGGGTGATGAACCGATGGCTGCTCTAACCTAGAGAGCGGGAGAGAGAACAGTGGTATCGAGAAAGGCACAAGGTTGAAGGTATATGTACCGTTAGTATGGATCGGGATAGCCTTTTCGGCCTGATAAGACCAATGCCTGAGAATGAGAGAATATGAAGGAGATTCCGGGAGCTGAGAACTCTGAGGTCACCGTTGTCCCCCTCAGCTGGATCCACACCGGGCGCCGACGCCGCCACTGCCATCTACCGAGCGGCCCAAGAACCCCATCTTCGAGGACAGCCAGAAGGCGGCGCTGCTGAAGCGGCTTCTCCAGAGCACCAATCCAGACGACATCCAGGCTGCAAACCGGCTGATTAAAACCATGGTGAAACAAGTAAGGCGGTTTATAATGAAACCCTGAGGACATGGAATCGAGTATTGGAAAATGTATGTAGTTATATTATACATATTATGTAGGGTATTAGGGTAAGTAGGATGTTGATTGGTTGTGTGGAAACTGGAATGTCATGTGAACCTATGCTTGGAACCGGCGAGACTCTAGGACGCTGTGATGACAGTGGATGCAATGTGTTTTCCTGTCCACCCTGTATGATCTTTATTTCCCTGTGTGTGATCCAGTGCTTCACTGTGACCCTGTAATTCATCCCTGCGTGACCTGGCGCTGTGTCCCGCCTCTGTGACCCCGTGTGACCTGGCTGTGTGACCCAGGACGAGGAGAGGTCAGAGCGGGTCAGTCGCAGGGTCACGGAGCTCGAGACGGTCCACTCCAACCTGCGCCTGCTGGAGGAGATGATGGACAACTACTCGCCAGGTAAGTCAGGGCGGCTAGAGTTAAGCTCAGGCTACACTATCAGCGTTTTTTTCGGTTTCTGCGTGTTTTCGGTTTCCGCGTTTTTACGGTTTCTGCGTTTTTTCGTTCCGGGCGGCCGCCGCGTGGACGGCATGTTGTTTATAGCATAGTGATGGATAAGTGATCAAATTAATTAATTATTCATGTTAAATGTTATCGTGTTTTAACAAAATCATAATTAAATAATTGTTTTAAAGATTTTACAACTAACAAGAATACATTTTCGATCATAATCATTTGTCAGCTTAATTACAATTATCAAGTAGAATGATGAGTTTTGAAACACATCTTGTCTTCTTTAATTATGAATTACACCATTTTCATTATTTACACTTGAAACTGTTCCATCGTCACACTATTATTAGCAACAATCACTTCTAATCATTCATCACTAAAACGAAATCCCGCAGAAACCGAAAAAAAGTTCACAGCTCTGAACTTTTTTTCGGTTCCGACTCGTCGGTTTTTGCGGGTTTTCGTTCCACGGGACGCCAGACTGGCAGTGTAGCTTGCGCAATGCATTCGCTATGAGGCGAACTTGACGACGCGAACCGAAATCCCGCAGAAACCGAAAAAACGTCGGAATTTATGCTAGTGTAGCTTAGGCTTTAGAGGGCGGCTAGAGGGTCGGGTGACCTCACTCCTTGTCTGGTAGTGGCCGTCTAGCCCCTTCAGCAGGCAGGAGAGTTGGATGGGAGGTCTGATCTGCTCATGTGAAAGTATTTTCGTCTAAGAAGCTGGCTACGCTGCTGTAAATTCAAGAATAGTTAGGACGTACGTTCACACTATGAATTCCGGAATTCGAAAGTGTGCGCCGTAATTTTCCAGCATTATTTGTACTTCCATCGCAACCGCAGCATAAACAGTACTTCTGGTGCTATTTTATAGTATTTTCACAATAGAAAGTGTATGGGTAAACAAGCTGTACTCCCAAATACGTTGTCTATATTACAGAGACGACATCCAGTGAGGAAATGGAACTGATGGCCGAACTGTGTACATCCTGTCAACAACTCAGAGGAAAACTGGACACGCTGGCAGCCGAGACGGACGATCAGGACTCGGCGCTCGGTAGGTCATCTGGAGCGCCACCCCTGCCAGAGTCAGAAAATATGCCATAAATAATCGACTTGGCCAGTAATTGGGGGCCAGCCTTGTAGTCCTGATAAGTTGGAACGAATAAGCCTGCTCAATATCATCCAGAGCTTACGATTGGGCCTATCGAGGGTGAAATGCAAACAGCTGCACCATACGGATTAAGGCTTATCCCTGGGTGTTGGTAGAATTCATTCCAACATCAACACTGGTACCCCCCGTCACACACACTAACCCCTCTCCGTTCCCTCGCTCTCCCCTCTCCCCAGCCGAGCTGGTGTCTGCCAGTGAGCAGATTGGCGCCACGATTGCGCGTCACCGGGAGCTCAGTTCGCGCAGCGCGCCCCTCACCCTCCTACAGCTGGAGTCGCCGCAGGAGGTCCGGCCGCCGGAGGCTCCCGACCGCGGCCACAGTCAGGACATGCTGCAGAAACAGCTGGAAAGACTGGGTGAGTGAGTAAGGGAAGGGGGGGGGGGGCGGGTTCAATTTCCGAAGAGGGTTTACATTATTTTTGGGCTGTTGAAATGATCCCTTCTAACAGCATTTTTACACTGAATAATCTTACCATGCTTGAATTAATTGCCGTTTTTTAGAGAGCAAAACTTTGAGTGAGCAAACCATTGAGCAAAACTTTTCATGTGAATCATTATCATGCAGGTTTTCTCGATATAATTCCATTAGCACATACGGCACAAAAATAATTTATATTTTCGTTCGTATTTAATTGGTAGCTATCGTGACCTCTAACCACTACCCGCCCGATCCCCAGGTCTCTCGGACGCTGCTGCATCGGGCCCATCCTCGATCCCCACAGCATTATCAGTGAACCAGCCGCCTGACCTACTGGGTCGAGCTACCGGACCACCCCCCTCCGTCCCCACCACCGCCGCCCCCGTCCCAGCCCCCGCTGGGTCGGGCCTGGCTGAGCTACTGGGGGCGCTGGACTGTCCTCCAGCCTCCGCGCCCCAGCCGCACCCGCCCCCGCCGGGCGGTGTGGGGGTGGGAATGAGCCATCAGACGATGCTTGCTCAGGTAGGTCAGGTGTGGGATGGAGAGAAGGGGAAGTTTACTGGGAAAGGTGTTAAGAGTTAGTGGGTGTAGATATCTAGGGGGCTGTCTAGTCATGGGTGGGTTTAGCTTTCCAGACTTTCTTGTGTTCGCTGTACTTCGAGGCAGCTAGTATCACTTTTCATCATCTCATTCTGGAGGTAATTGTTTCAAATTTGAATGTCCATCGTCCACAAACCCAGCGCCCCGCCCTGCCTAGCCGATTATCACCAATGCCTTGACCTCTTCCACTTTTTTTCTCCCGCCATACCCGCTCCTTCCAGTAACCTCGCCCTATCTCCGTCTGTCCCACAGATGCTACCCCCGGCGCGGACAGCAGCGCCCACCGTTCCTCGACCGTCCCAGCCGCCGGCCCGATCACCGTTCGATGATCTCGATGATCTGGTGCGACTGAGTATGTCCAGCTCGGCGCCGGGCGCGACAGCGACGGCTGCCTCGGGCTCTGCGACGGCGGATAGGTGAGGAGACCAAAGGTGTTCGTTTTGAGATGTGATTCAATATGTTTGTTCATGGACCGTGGAAAGCTATACACCTGCCACAATTAGAAGCTATTTTGTACGGCATTTGAAAGAAAAGTAAACGATAGTCTTTGTTTTAGACACTAAGTCAGCGTCTCGTGTTAGCTCTGACGAATTAAGACTAGGGAAGGATGGGGAAACGAAAGCCCTTGGCTTTTCATTCGAAATTATGTGATGTGTGGATATTGAAGTGACGTCTTCGCTATTTGCGTTTTGTTTACCAAGTGATGTAATGAAAAAGAAGGTAAAGGAGTTACGCTGTCATGTTTTGATATTCTTTTACTTCTTAGAATATTCCATGATTGCTAATTTCAACGTTTCTTTCGGCAGATTACTATCAGCTCCGCCCGGTTCTCCCTCCACCAATCGGACGGCCGCATCGGCCGGCTCGCCCCGCCCCTCCGCCGTCCCGACCAATCACACGCCGCCCCAGTCACCGGGGCGCGCGGCCGGGGCGGAGCCAAACGGCCATCAACCAATCACGGATCTACTCGGCGATGACGTCAGCCTGCTCTCGACGCTGAGTGGCCCGAGCTCCCACGACTCGCTGTTATCTGAGACAGGATTGGGCGGTCAGATGGGATCAATTGGCTCTCAACCAATGTCAGCTGGAGGTCACCCCGCGTCCGCTGGAGGTCAGCCGGGGTCAGGGCGAGGTCAGGACCCGGCTGCCGGAGACGCCGCGTCCCGCCCTCCCGGTCTATCGGAGGTCACCGTTCGTCTGGAGGATATCACTCCCGGTGAGTCAGGGGACGACTGTGGAAGATGATGTACGATGATTGATGGAATGGCGATGGGGGAAGATGGCATTTGCTTGTGAAGCGTTGTGAGCGAGGGAAGGGGTCGTGCCGATGGTTTTGAGAGTCCATCGTTGGATAGATTATTTGTAGCCACTGGTCACCTTGGCTTTCTAGGGTGATATAGTGCAACTAGCATAGTTTTGTGCTATATTTATTTTTTTTGTAACGATGAAGGGCAGGCGCGGGCCCAAAACAATGGCTTTTACTCTCCATGTTTCGTTTTTTGACAATATGTCCCATGTTTGGACTATTTACAAATTTATGCACATTTCCGTTTTCAGTCCAGTGATGCAATCCGACCGTCAGACCGTATTTAACCTTATGTTGGTCTGGTAATCTAACCCCTGCCCGCTCCCGTCAGGCGGCGCTGCGCCGGTACCGCTGTTCTGCGAGCCCAACTCTCTGGAGATCAGTCTGCACGGCCCGGCCGGTAACCGGCCGCGGCGTGACGTCACGGTGTACATCATCACGACACTGAACCGCACCGGCCGGCCCGTCACCCAGTACACGCTGCAGGCCGTCTGTGATAAGGTAATGGTGTATAGGGGACCCTGTGATTATATTGCTGTAATTATAGTTAGCAGTTGCTACTGTATAGTAGCCACAGTTAGCAGTTACCACTGTACAGGTTAGCAGTTGCTACTGTACAGCAATTCTCAAACGTCCCAGCGTTTTTACAGAGGAGGCTACGAGGGACGTTATGCAGGGGGACATTACAGGGGAGGCTACAATAAACTGTCAGAGCGCACGCACAGAAACCCTTAGTTGGTCTTGTACAGGGACCCGCAGTCGATACCAATGTATACATTGATATCGACCCCGTTCAGTTGACTACAGAATCATGTTCCATTTAACATTTCTCACGGGCAGTTAGTTACCTGAAGTGGTAGGCTGTGCTGCATCACACATGTTGAGTGACTCAGCCTGTCCCTGCGACTCTACGCTCACAAAATAGGCATGCTTATTGCTTAATTGCGTGCTAAACGGTACAACCTGGCGTACCAGTCAGTTTATGGGTTGTGAGGGCCGAGGGGCGGAACATCATTCTGTAATCCACTGTACTTTGATGACGTCTATGGAATGTTATGGAGGGTCAGTTTGACGTGAATGTTAGTCTGGCGCCCAATCGATAATCTGTTCGACATTGTTTTTGGTTTTGTGGCTTTATTGATAGGTCGTGTTATTTCATATGAAAGCTCTTGGTGATATCAGCGATCATAGTTGTGGTGGGTGTCTTGACAAGACGTTGAGGTTGTCAAGGCCTTTACATGTGTGCGGTTTACTAAGGGGTGGCCAATCTCAAACGAAGGCTAAGTCCAGGTTATATAACTGGCTACAAAAAGAGTATTGATAAATTTGAATAATTAACATAGCATGAAGGAGGCGTTATATTATAACCCCATGAACTCTCTGACTTTCCTCGTTTTAGTCCGCCGATGACCATGACTGTAGTCCGGGCGCCCAAAACCCCAAACCCCCTCTCGTTTCAGTCGGCCCGGGTGCGTCTGCAGGCTCCGTCTACCACAGATCTACCCGCCGGGTCACCGTTTCTGCCGCCGCCGGCTGCCAGTCAGGTGCTGCTCCTGGCCCGGCCCGAGCCTCAGGTCAGTGGGCGGGGGGGGGGGGGTGTTGACCTCAGGTCAGTGATGAGGGGTATTGACCTCAGGTCAGTGGACGGGGTGGTGATCTGACCCTAGGTCACTATGGAGGATGGGGGTGCCGTTTGTGAATTGACGAAGTTTACGAACGACATATCAATAGTGAAATATGACAATTATTTATGACACGCTGTCGCCATGTCGAGACCACTTAGGAGGCCCTGTGCTAAATGTATGTGATGTGTGTGTCATCTTTTCCTCAGATGAGCGTTCACCTGCGGTTCATGCTGAGCTACTCTATGGATGATGACATCATCACCGAAATGGCCGAGACCACTCTCACCGGCCAATCGTAACGCCTCGCTACGGTGACGTCATACGGCTCCACCAATGAGAACGCGTCTCACAGATCGGTCCAGCCAATCACAGCTAGTCTCTACACCGACGGAACGGCCATTGGCCAATCAGAACGAACTCGAAAGATGACGTCACTTGCACCGACAGCTGCACAGCATTCCGCTTCATAGCTAAGGTGGTATGCTGCTTTAGGTATTAAATGGGTGGTGTTGTCATGTACTGCACTGATATATTCGGCCAGTTGTGATTCCGTGTGTAGCAAGCTATCTACAAATTACCTTGTGTGTTGTGTTGGAGTGTTTAGGTTGATATTAGTCTGATAATGTGGCTGATGATTTTAACTGGTGTAAAATCTTGCAGGGGTTGTTCCTTTTTATGCGTGTTTCCTTTTATCATCCTATATCGCTATTCTCCATATTTCGTGCTCGATGTTGCGGGTTGTGGCATGTTTTCCCCGAGTTTTTAAAATTAGTTCAGGTGATATGTCTAATAGAAAAAGTGTAGTTTTGTGATCAACGGTATTGCTGTTGTGATTCTTGCTTGCGTACGCTTCCCAAATTAGCTTCATTGTATAGCTTGTGCGTACTTTTTGTTTAGCTCGGCAGCTAGCTTCCAAAAGCTTTTAATCGCATTTTTTGCCATGACAGCAGCAGCCTATTTGTCATGCCAACCCATCCATGACAAACGGCTGACGGTCCTGAAAGACAGGCTACACTTTATAGCACGCTTGTGCGTGACAGATGAGTCAATGGAAACCAACGGGATATGATGTTCTGGCCAGGGTTCTGGCAGCTAAGACATCGGGGAATTCGGGTAACGGTGATTGCAAATAAGCATATAAGAGGGACATTCAGAGGCGAGTTGAGAATAATTAATGCACGCGCTATAATGAGAGAGGTATATGCACTATGCAGTATGGCAACACTGGAATGACTACTAAAATCGCTGCCGGAATTTTAGCCCGAGAAGACATGCGTTGCCTATCTATGTATGCTTTCATTTCGATAGGTTGAGAACGATTCGAATCCGGCAAATCTGTCCGTACGGTACATTATTTGAGCGTAATCGAATGTGGTTGCGTTGATGTTAATTTTAAGTATTATGCGGATGCAATATTCCTTCGACATCTCCATATTCGTCTTTTACTGCCTGCCAGTTTGATGTGATTCAGTTTATTATCCCCGGCTGTCGTACTAAGACCTTCGTTCCTATTAGCTGCCATCTTAGTCTGTTGCGCTGTTGGCTCATCAATGGTCTTTGCCTATATTACCTGAGTGTGTGTTATCCGTTGGTTTGCGCCGTCGCTAGCTTGTTTGTGCCTGATGGAAAATGGAAATCGTCCCTAAGGAAAGTGCCAGTAGGAGCCAGTAGCCGCAGCGGCGGCGCGGGCACGGTTGCCATGCCAACCGCTGTGAGCGTCTAGTCAGCGCCGTGTCTAGTTCGTGCGGTCGCCGCTGGGTAGCGCCACAGTCGCGGCTAAAAGCCAAGGGACTTGGCGATGAGGAATTGGTGTGGACTGTGGAGTGTGGAGAGCGGTGTGGATTTGGAAAATATATGGTTATCCACGGTTAAAGATGTGCTTTCCATCGAGTGTTCGATTTTGTGACTATAGATCAATCAATCACAGGGATGTCTTCCGGCTGTCTTTCGACCAAAGCTCACCCACAGATAACCCGGATCCCATCAGTGACTAAAGTGACCAGTAAAGCTTCACTGGTCGTTGACCATGGGTCAATGCCAATGGTCCTTCAGTGACCCACCAACGTCCGGTGCCACCGATCAGCGACCCTTTAATGGCCCGGTACCCACCAGTAAAGCAGCAACTCGTTAGTGAGCTATGACATATTTTCTGTCTCCAGTGACCTACGCCACTGTAGCATGTAGCAATGCATTGTCAGCATGCGTTGTGTTACCTGCAGCCAGTAATACTGCCGTCACCGACTCAGATATTCACCAGCTCACACATTGGTATCCAGAATACATTTCCCGTTTATTGATTCCGACAAACCATTCATTTTCAGCACACAGCACGTATATATATAACTCTGATAAAGCACAGGGCGGCTCTTTCATTGGCCAGCCCCGCTTGCGATCTCTCTAGAAACGACAGCCAGTCGAAAGGGAGACGAGGGCCAAAGATGGCGATCCCTAAATAATGGCAGCTGCATGGGGCCGCTAGATGCAGAAATACTCTTAGGGCCAAGATGGGTTTTAGGTTTCAGGAATGGCACAGCACCAAAGGTGTCCCAGTCAGCATACGAGCTGGGACGCGGCTCGCGAGACGCGTCTACACAATATTGAACCCACCACCGAATAAACTGACAGAGATATAGTACAGTGCCATTAGACTCCTCCAGGCTAAAACAGACCCCTCGCGCGTTGGAAAGCACAAAAGACCGGGCGTTTTAGCATCGCGAGATATAGACTCAACGCTTGCAGACTGAGGTTTTGAGTTTGTCTAGCTTGCGGATTATCTCGCAGAACGGGAAGTAGTACCCCCGGTAAGCGGTACAGTTAAGTCCCTAGTACACCAGCGGTGGTGCAGGCGGAGTACGCATGCGGTACAGGCGGTACGGACACCACAGCGCGGGGTACATCGAGGTCATTGCACCGGTACATTGGGTCACACGAAGGGCGAGCGGAGTCGTTTTCGGCACTTTTAGTATAGGGGAGACAAACAAAGGGACAGACATTAGAGGTCTGCACCGGCCGGCTGCAGCCGCGGCTGGCTGCAGCCCCACGGCTGTGGGCCGGGGCGGCTGCAAATATCTCCAAGAACACGGCTACGGCTGTGGCCACGGCTGTGAGATTTCAAGCTCAATCTTAAGTACTCCAATATAAAATTTTAAATCCTTAATCTCACATTCTGATAAGCAGTCTAGCCTGTAAAATTCATGCAAAGGATGCCCAGCAACATTGAAAGTGGTGAAGCCTTTGAAAACCTGTAATGGTTTTACCATTTGTTGTAGGGGAGTTTGCACTCTGGTACAGAATACTAATTATAGGTACCAATTGTTCCTTCATCATCAAGAGCTTGACAGTTTCAGAAAATGCAGCATGTTGCATTGTCACATCCCTCTCAAATCAATCTCACCTGGTCATTAGGAGAGCACCTTACAGCTATTGAAGATGAGCGTTCAATAATTCTTTCAGGTAATAGAAAAAGAAATCACGCCTAGGTAAAGGCAGGTAAAGGCTTCATAAAATATTATCTAACATAACTCTTAGATGTATTTCTGGATTTTCGGCAAGTCCAATTACATAATATAAAACTGGCGCTTTATGTTCTAACTGGTGTGTGAGTGACCGCTAACAGAAAATGCTGATCAAATAAGCCAATGGAATTAGATTATAAGTGAACATGAACCTTACTTACGGTTAATTCACATGATGGTGAAAACCCTGAACACGTAATTCACATGACGGTGAAAACCCTGAACACAATATTTCTTACGCGAGCTGTTGACTTTACTAATAAAATGACGTCTTCTTCTGAAAATGTATAAATTTGATACTTACTCTTTATTTGAAAGCAAGTTTTTGACTACGTAGCATTATTATTTATTAATTATAATTTTTATGGCTGTTTATAGTGACACAAAACAATTTATTGCCACTTCTTTGCTATTGACGTCATTAAAAACTCAAGTAAAATTTTTGATTAAAAGAGGTAATTGTGGCTCGCACGTCCTTGGGGGATTTGAGCGAAGATCATTATTTGGAAAAATCAAAATAGAAGAATGTTTTTCTTTCTTGGATGCTCACTAGTGTTTTGATGCCTTGCATATCAAATTAGTTTGAGACTTGCCCAGAAGGCTGCTTCAAGTCTGGCATATCACACCCCAGAAAATATGCAAGGTAAGAAAGAAGCAAGAGTTTTGACTAGACAATCTCTGTTTGACAGTCCATCAACTTGAGTTTCATTTTCCATACCTAACATTGATAATGAAAAGCATCATGGTCTGTTGTTCTGTCCCACAACCATGCTTCAGGATTTGGCATTAGATGTCTACACTGCTAGTGCTTCTATTCTGGTTCGTTGTTTATTGTTTCTGTTGTTGTAGGTACCTAGGTACCTACCCATCTTTCTTAACCCCTTGCAAGGGCTTGTGTAGGCAATAGGCATGCGTTGCGCATCAGGCTTCAGGCCTTCGGCCTAAAGCCAGATACACAACCACTTAACCTATGATGCTTCATGAGCTTGAGAATCTATAGCCGATTGCAATGTGCTTTTGGCTATATGTTTCAACTAAAAACAACTTATTATATACTATTTGGTTGCATTTCATTGAAAGTATCCACGGCCGGCTGACGGCTGGCTGCCCACAGTTTGCCACGGCTGTGGGCGGCTGTGGCTGTGGAGCCACGGCTGCGGGGCGGCTAGGCTGTGGAAAATTGCAGCCGTGCAGAACTCTAACAGACATCTCGACAGTGCCGATCTCCGGCGCGAAACCCACCACCAAAGCAGACAGGCGCCGGCGCCGATCCTGACCTTGACCTCGGCCAAAGCACAAGGGTCAAGGGTCACGAGACGGACGCAGCACCAGTCAGATGCATAAAACTGAGCGAGCGACTTAGCCTAGAGTACATTGACAGCGACGCAGCGAAACAAAGTGAGGGCATGTGGCGTTCCACGGCGGTTAGGCATCGGCTCAGAATGCCCTCTAGCAAATTACGTGATCTAGCCTCTTCTTACGTTACACAACAGGGGATAAAATAAGTAAGCGTACCCTAACCTAGCGTTATGTGCCTCTGCCGCGCGAGCGCTGGTTAAACGTTGTACATTTAGGTAAAGAACACACGTGGGGACAAAATAACATTCAGGACATGATTGCACACGGCGCCGCTACGTGTTCGCGGAGGACAGACAACCGTACGGCTTCTCATTCATCGATATCCATTATTCAGAAATCTACCACTATGGCACAATTCAAACATCCCGCGTCGCGCATGCATCCGCACAGGGGCGCCGCCTATACTGCGCGGCATGGCGGCGTCATCTATAAAGCCGAACACCAACGCCATCTATACTGCGCGGTACAGTGGCGACATCTATGCGGCGCTAGTCCAGCCTTCTGGCCGCCTAGCGTGCGAGCTGTGTGATGAGTGCCGAGCACATCTCGAAAAACTCCATGGTGTAGTGGCGAGCCCCAGTGGCGGGAGCAGACAGCTCCGTCGAACTCTGCCGACAAGCAACAAACGTCAGGGGATGACATCAGCGTTAACAGGGCGACGGACAAACAACACAACAAACAAAAACCATAAGCGGAACCCAAGAATGCTGACATAGAGTGTCTACAGTGAAACTTATCAAACAATGCATAGATAGTGTTACAAAGGCACCAGTGCAGCATGCAAAACGCCTACTTAGAATTCAAGATGAGATAACTTGAGGAAGCGAGGCCCCTTCCAAGATCCATAGCCCAACACAATAGGTACCTATCTCGCACGAAATCCCGCCCATCCCAACACTCCCGCCTCTCGTCCCATCCCCTTGCCACGCTCGTCCCACCTGGTGTGACAGATCGCCGTTGCTGGACGCTGCCGGAGCGGCCGGGGCCGACTCGGGACGCGGGTGGTCCTCCGAGGTAGTAGCGCCCGTGGAGGAACTACCGCTGGTCATACCTGGGAGGGACGGAGGTTTGGTTAGTCGATAGACAACTTCATTGAAGTCTGTGGCTTTATAGAGAGGAGGTAAGTGGTCAGACGAGATTAGGTCAGTGCCTAGATATCTTCATTAAAGACTATGCAGAAATGGAGCTGAGGTCAATGCATTGAGTGCGCATGGTGTACTCAAGTATTCGGTCGGTGTATTGGATGATGAGGGGTTTCCGGCCTCCAGGAGCACCAACTGATGGGTTACAGGAATAAATAAGAATAACAAGTTCAGAAAGAAAAAACATGTTTTCAAGGATGTAGATAATTGGTTGGAGTGAGATAATGGTAGGTATATTACACATGTCAAACGCTAAAAGATATCGTGTGTAGATGGCACAGAACATCTTGTGGGAATTCCTCTAGGGCCGGACTTATACTAGGAAATGCAAGGAAGGAAATGTTACGTGCGTTGTTGTTATTGAATCAACACATGTCAGTATCCAGCACACGGATGCCAACATAGTTAAGAGCATAGTGATTGTGAGAGCATAGTGAGAAGCCATTCTGCGCATGCTTTAAAATGAATGAGGAAAGAAGGCACAGTGCTGGATGGAATAAAAAGTGTTTTCAAGGCGAAACCGCACAACATTCCACTTACCGTTAAAAACAATGGAAGATAATAGGATAGTTGGGTGAACTACATCGAAAAATAGGCGACAACGCGACACTGGTTTTGGAACGAGACACCGACTTCTAAATTTGCCGTACGCTCTTCAAATCATGAGTACAATTAGAGTGAAAGAAGCAGAGGAAAACGTGGGCGAAAAAGGCACAACTATCATATGACGGCGAATGATAACAATGTATCAGATAGACCGCGATGCGTAGAGCAAGTGTGCAAATTTTAACAGCCATGTTGTTCACACTAAATAACACAAAAACGAAAATCCAAACACGAAACGGGCATCTGGGTATTC